GGAGGACACCTTTGGCAACGAAGGCGACGACAGTGTTGTTGACAAAGGAGCCAGCCCGGGCACGGACTGGGCTTTAGTAATGCGAGCTATTGGCGCATTTGTTGGCATCATTTTTGCCATTGTGAGTCCAAAATCCGACATCGCCTTCTCGTTCTGAAAATGAGTACTGACAAATCCTTCCAGCGCAAGCTAGCATGGGTATCTACCCTTCAAGTGTCAGCGACATTAGCATTGGTCAACCCCCTTTTATGGTGGCTCATAGATCGCAGTAAGCCTGGATTCGTGCTGTCTGCTGCAGTTGGCTTGACCGGTTCGATTCTCCTTCTCGGTGTTGATCCTGAAATAATGCCTGCGCCATCAGGATTGCCTACCCGTAATTCTTCAAATCCTTTTAACAGCGACCCCCTTGCATTGGGTGGCTTAGCCACGCAACAAACGGTTGAAACGGGGGTGTGGATGCTCAGCGTGCTATTCTGCAGCTGCCTCTGCTTTGGCAATATTGGTCGCAGGCTGACGTGGAACAGATCGAGCGGAAGATGGGGCGGAATCCGATAGGCCACATGGCGACCAGGCCCATGGGGGATATTAATGTTGGCTTTCTTTTTCTGATTTTTGTGTATTGTATTAGTTAATTGTGTCTTTAAGTTCATGATACCCGCATGGCTTGGTTATAAGAGAACCATGAGGAATATAGGAGCAGCCAGGCTATCAAAGCGAATATCCGACTAATATCACGATCTTTGTGATTTATTGGATTGTATGCATGTATATGATGTATCGGTGCTCTGCAGACTACGCCGGACTCGAATCAGTGATAAGCCCTCACTTCTTCTCGAGCAACCAGACAAATAGTCCCTTTCCGTTAATACGGCCGCGGTCACGTTTCCGGCGATTGCTGATATTCTAGCCTCTGTATAGCTGACCAGTTACAAGTGTGCCCTCGCGACATATCAAGACAGGCGAAAATTGTACGGGTTGTGATTCACACCCTATTCCGGAGCTGCACACAATCCAAGACTTGGCGAATGCAGTGTGCGACGGGATACATCTCCAGGTACCGGACTTAAGTGGTCAACAAGCTACTTGCAACGTTGGAGAACTGGCTGAGGGTCCACCAAATTAAGTAAGTTAAATATGTGGCTTTCAAACGATACTTGGTCATGTAAGGAATTGAAACTCAAAATCATCGGCTTGCAACGGCCAGGCAAGTAGCCCACTGGTGCAACCCAACGCTTCAGAAATGATGCCAATGACTTTTCGCCCCAGGGACCGTTGGCGAGCAACAGAGAAAACACATGATGCTTCTCCATGTGATACAGGTAGTATGGCCACGGGAATTGGGTGCCGCCACCAATCTAGAAGTTCGCGAAGATGAGGAACCCATGACTAGCGGCGATGATGAGAATGACGTCTTGTATACGGATCGTGCCCCGTCGTGGCCATCACAGGTCGTTCCATAATCACCCCCACTGCGGGCCCATGGGTTGTCCGGGACAGCTAACATTTATTCAGGGTCCAGAATGACGATTAGGAGAATGTGTCTGTCATGATGTAGGTCCTGTAAGGACGTTGAAGATTCGAGACATTGGAACCGTCTTGAGCACTAAAAATTCAAGATCAAGAACGAGTGCATGCATAATGTTTAATGTTGCAAAACACCTTGTGGACGAGCCCTTGGTTCCTGCCCGTCTTTGTGTGACATGACATATGACGTAGCCTAAATCTTCGGATAGGCTTGGTGGGAAGGTGCGAACTGCCTGCTTTTCCAATCTAATAGAAGCGTTGACTGCTCGGCTTCGCATCAAGTTAGATATATAGAATCTGAATATAACAATGCATCCTCACGCCATAGCCAAAGTCGGAGCGTCATCAAAACCCAAGGGTCCCCGGCGCAAAGCAGCGGTCGGGAGAACGCCGGACACTGCAGGCCACTCTACGCTTGCAGTCGACACCGTCGGCGCACCCCATGCATGACGATGACTTTCCACCCCCGTAACAGTCGGCTCCTACGTCAACGGTATTTCCCCTTCCCTTCAGCTCGGCCACTCACGTTATCTCTCTCCATCTTCCAACATCACCCACCGGCTTGGAAGCTGGCCCGTTATTGTGGAGATATCGTGTTTTACTACCTGGGTAAGTCGGATCTCGATGATATGAGGTGAACTTCGGCAGGCATATTGTCTGTCCAACTCTCAGCCTTACTCATCTACAAGAGAGGACACGAAGAGCCCAAACGGAGAACACTATCATTTTTATCTATTTCCGCTTCCTCGCCTTCCTAGTGCCTATTTTTCTCTCTTGTAGTCGTGGCCATAAGTCTTGCGCGATCGGTGCGCAACCTTGCTTCTTTCGTTTCAAAACCGCTCAATCCAAGTTGTTGTATAGGTGTCTGCATCCTCTGACTAGCAGCCTTGTCGGGCTATCCTCGAGTGGCGGCGTTGTTCACAGGCGGGTATATTCATCGGCCGAAACCCTACCTGCCGATGCCTGCAGAGTCCGGCTTTCTCAAGACGTCAATTTTCAGAGCCCTCTAGCCGAGAGTAAGGCTCGGTCCTGGCTGACAATAATCACTGAGACCATATCTCAAGCACTTACGCGACACACCTCTCTCTTTAGCTGCGTGCACCAATTCTAATGCTCATGACATCACGTCCTCCGTCTTCACCGGCTGGGACTCGAGCCGATGGGAATCCAGAACATACCCAGGACCTCGGGAGTCATGTTCGACAATCAGAAGGCGCGAATAGCGAAGAGCATAACATTATACATAGCGAGACGCGGGGGAACATGTCCGCACAACACAAAGACGTACATGAAAACTTGCCGGACTTCCATGACCAACGACAGGAGGATGAAGATGGTAGATACCAGAATCGAGAGCTTAAACAACAGCAAATACGAGATATCGTCCGCCTCTTCCAATGCCGGCATTGTTCGAAGCCGTTCAAAAATGCCATAACCCTACCCTGTGGCCGAAGTATATGCAGAGCATGCGTTCCTGCAACCCACGTGCGAACTAGTATCACGTATCCCGCTATTCCAGATCGACTTCGAGGCTTCATGTGTCCTTTCGACGGTTGCTCCAAGGAACATGCTCTGAGTGATTGCGGACTCGATGTAGTTCTCAACAAGATTAGCCAGCTCATAGAAGAAGAAATTCATCGAGGTCAGCGAGCTGCGATACAGGCAAACCTCTCAACAAGTATAGGCTTTCGAGACCCGTGGGGTGTTGCTGGCATGCCTTCGATGAATGATAACAGCCATGCTCCTCGGATAGTTCCAGGTGGCCGGCTGGTGGCGACATGGTCTTTGGCCGCAGAAGGAGGGTTGTTAGCCGATGCTGAAGTCACCTATGAGGACGTTCCGCCGAAACGCTCTCGGGAAGATTTCTCAGATTTCGATGCCAAATCTTTGAATCATCTGCAAACGATTACTCGCAATGAGGTAGATTGCCAAGTGTGCTATGCGTTGTTTCACGACCCATTCACAACGGGCTGTGGGCACACTTTCTGTCGCTCGTGCCTACATCGGACATTGGACCATTCGCACCGGTGTCCGATTTGCCGTTGCACGCTAGCTATCAACCCGCTACTAAATCCCGATCTATGCCCATCGAATGAATCCATTACTCGGCTAATTGAGCTATTTTGGCCCGATGAAAAGGCGGCTCGAGACAAAGATGTCACGTCAGATACCGCTGCGCGGCACCAAGACCTCGACTTACCACTGTTTGTCTGCACGCTTGCATTTCCATCTATGCCTACCTTCCTCCACATCTTCGAGCCTAGGTACCGATTGATGGTTCGGCGGGTATTGGAAGGAAATAGGACCTTTGGCATGGTCTTACCAAAACGTCCCCGAGACGCTGATGACACTCATTTTTACGAACTAGGTACACTCTTGCGAATCATCAACGCTGAATTCTATCCCGATGGTCGCAGTTTGATCGAAACAGTCGGTTTAACGAGATTCAAGGTTTTGCGGCATGGAGAGCTTGATGGGTACACAATTGCAAAAACCGAACGTGTCGACGATATGTCGTTAGAAGAGGAGGAGGCTGTTGAAGCTTCTGAAGCTGTTGCAGCGACTAGGAATGTTGATGCTACCGGTTTGAACAGCGATCTCTCCGCCGGGATAGACAGTTCTACCGCAGAAGACTCGGACGAGACCAGGCCAGAGACTGAACCAACAGGCATCCCTCCAATCCCGATGACAGCGTCAGATCTGCAAGCGATGTCGACGCAGAATCTAATGAGTTATGCCACGGCTTTTGTATCTCGCATGCGTGGACAAAGTGTTCCGTGGTTAACGGCCCGAATGTTTGGCATATATGGAGAGTGTCCAAGCGACCCAGCTGTCTTCCCATGGTGGTTTGCCAGCATGTTGCCGGTAAAGGACCTCGAAAAATATAGACTATTAGGCACATCCAGTGTTCGTGAGCGACTCAAGATTTGTTGCGTTTGGATTTTGGAGTGGGAAACGACAAGATGGTAAGTATTGTTATTACCTTTATGTTCCGTTTTCAGCCCCCGTTGCTTTGCCTGCCGTACTCAATGCGCTAGAGTGGACAAGGGCTAAAGAATTTCAGGGCTAATCTAGTTGAGCCGCGGTTAGGTCGTTTCACAATTGCTCTATTCTCTGAGGATTGATGTCCAAGGATATGTCCCTCAAAAAATGTCGATTGTACAAATTGTGTCTGAAGAGGCTGGGACTGTTTGGATAGATATATCTCATTAGCATGACTTTTTTGTTAGCATTCGCAGCCTGTATTGCTTAACGATGAATAAATATGGAACATGATATCCCTGCCATCTGGGGTTGACTACCAGCCAACAGAATGAATAGTTGTAGCCCCTGTTGCAAATGTTCCGCGAAGTATCGGCTGTCTATGTTTACTCCCCCGTCAAGTGCATTCCCACTAACAAATCACTCCAACCCATCTAATCCAGCAACAACAGTTCATGGCCGTGTCATTTTCCCAAATATATGTCACGACAACATCACCACCCGATCGCGTCTACTTTCCCATTCGTACTCGCCGCCATCGTTGCATCTCCCCATGCCGGAGCCTCAGCTGGGCCACTCCATGAACCAGGCATTACATTGTTGTGCGCCTCTGCCGAGGGGGCATTATTATCCTGTGCAGTATCACCCCATTGTACACCGTTATCATTGCTGCCATTCTGCGCATCCTGATTCTCCCAAGTAGCGTCGCCGCCGGAAGGCTGTCCCCCACTAGGCCAATCACTTCCACCGTTGTTGCCGCTGTCGTTGCCAGCATTGATGTTGTTGTTCCAAGTTGACTCCTGGTTATCTCCGGCATTGAATTCTTGAGAGCCGCCCGGCCCTCCGTTGTTGTTGCTGTCCCATGCATTCTCCTGCGTCTGAGTACCCCACGTGTCTGTAGCTCCTCCGTTGCCGCTTGCATTACCGTTTTCGTTGCCGTTGCCATTACCCCAGCCGCTCTGCTGCGGCTGGCACATCTGGCCTTGATTTTCGACTCCAGAACGACTTGGGTTCTTGGGACTGGCGTTCCGTACGGAGCCGTTGCTGCCTCCATATGCACTGAATTGGGATCTGGTCTTGTTTGGAAGATACGAATTGTGCTTCCCAGGAGGGAAGACATTATTCCCGCCAGCAACGTCCTGATCTTTACTTGATGGAGCAGCGCCGACAGGGTTCGGGTTAGGGTTTAACAGACTGAATGCTCCTCTGTTCTGGTTTTGGTTCTGAGCCTGAGTTGCTGGCTCCATCTGCGGCCACGGTCCGCCTGGGAAAGGTCCCGGATACCCAGCAAATCCCATGGGCGCAAACGCATTCCAGGCTGGCATTGCCATTCCTTGTGTAATAGGCACGTGCTCCATGCTGGTCTTGTCTTGACTTCTGTCGAAGCCATGGTAGTACGGGTTCTGAGTCGGATGTGGCATGCCAATCGGTAGAGGTCGAAGTGACGGATCTCGCTTGGGATAAAGAGATTGGTGGTGATGACCGTACACGGGGCCATGATAGATTCTGACAATGTTGTTTTCGGCGTCGTAATATGCATTTGGGATTGGATCTTCCGGTGTTTCGACGACTCTCTCGGTGTGGACGACTTCTGCACGCATAGGGGCAATGAGGTTCGGACGGCGAGGGTGAGGCCCAGGGTATGGCGTCGGGTATCTTTTTTCTTTCTTCTGTTCCGATTCCTTTTCTTTTGGTGAGGCTTTCTGTTCAGTGGACTCTGCTGGTTGTTTCTCGGGTTCTTTCTCCGGTTCTTTATCCTTGGGTTTGTCGTCATTCTTATCCTTATTCTGCCCATTTTTAGCTTGGTCCTCATTTTTATTCGCCTCCTTGTTCTTATTTTTATTTTTCTTGCCCTGCTGCTTGTTTTCCTTCTTCTTTTCATCACTGGAATCATCTGTGTCCTTGGCGGATTCTTCCTGCGACTCCCCTTCGGAGCTATCCACCTTGGCTTTCTCCTTCTCCTTGGCCTTTCCCTTCTTGCCGCCGTTCTTCTGACCTTTTGCAAGCTCCTCGTCAGTCGCCACCTCTGAATCACAATCGGACTGTTTGGCTTTTTTGGAAGCTTTGCTTGCTGCCCGCTGCTGTTTCTGCCGGCCACGAGTACAATTGGAACACTCACAAGTAGGATGGGGCTCGGAGTCATCCTCGCTATCGGATGATTTAGCTGCTTCTTTCCCCTTTTCTTTATTCTTTTTGTTTTTACTCTTTGGGGGAGATGGCGGCTCGCTTGGTTTTGAGTCGCTCGACTCGGCCGAGGTGTCTGCTTCTGAGTCGGTGGGCGTGTCTTCAGACTCAGAAGCTGCTGGGGTTTTCTTCAGGGCAGATTTCTTGGGCTCTTCTTCAAAACGAACTTTTTTCACAGTTGCATCCGTTTTGGTTTCTGGCTTGGTAGACCGTCCGGAGCGAGGGTAGGTTATTTTGACGGTATCTTCTTCAGTTTCATCGTCGGTGAACACCTCCACTGTGACGACATCTCGTTTCTTGCGAGGCTTCTTGGGGATGGGGCCGAGGGCAGATTGGATGGTTGTGCCGACGATATATTCGCAAAATAGGAGAGACTTTGATGGCCATTTATTATTTCTAGGCATTTTGGGCGATCGTTTTTGGAGTTCTTGGTTGGGAAAGGTTGAATTAGATTAGCTCTTGGGAGAGATACCCATAGTCCATCGACTAGGAGACTGGGTTGTGGTATCGAGTAGACCAGCCACTTGTGCGCAGGGTGTTTTGATTAGACAAACGATACGAGTTGTCAAATTGAGATGATATGGTACAAGACAAGATGAGACGGGCAGATCGGGACGTGGAGGCAGATTCCAAGCCAAGCTGTGAAGACAGCTGACTGCCAGCTGTCGAGCATGTGGCGGACCGCCAGCGTTTGGGGATTGAGGAGGATGGGCTCGATGGAGTCGAAAGAGCCATAACTACTCGCCTCAAAACCAATGTTGCCAAAAACATTTATTATTTCTCTCTTCAGATCAAGAGATGGTGGCTCCCTCTGGCGGATCAGTTGGCGGCGACATATCAAATAGCGTCTTGACTCTTCGGGGAGTGTCTACCGTCTGTTTGTTTTCAACTTGGCACTGATAGATCACAGGTCGCCTCTTCGCACAGCATCACAGCCAATGCTCCCGTGTCTGTGACCAGCATCTGCACTATCAAAAACAGAAAGAGTGGGTGTATAAAAATAGCTGCCGGGAAGGAAACCCATTGCAATGTCGAATTTGTATCTAGACAACTTGGAGCAGTCGACTACAATGCGGAATTGGGCGTGCGCTGGCGCATGCAGAATGCAGAATGCAAAGTCATGATTTTCAATCTCAAGAAAGACCAAGTCCATACTGCTATCGAAGAAAGAATAAAAGACGACACAGAGGCCGAAATGACTCGCAATAATGCGGTATAGGTGATCTTTTCTAGTATAGTCCATTTTCACGCCCATCCTCGAGCCTGTCCATCTTCTTAACTATCTAGTGTTGCCATCTTCAAGCACCAATACAGATTAATACGTATTAGATAATCGTCGAACCGAGCATATCTTCAGAGTTGGCATCTTGGATGATACGACGTCGTAGATCAGCTCTGGCCGATGCGCAGAAAGACCAGTCTAATGCCAGGAATCACACCTCAAATAGTCGCTTCATCCATAAAAATGCACCAGCAAGCGATTTCGAACGTTAAGATATATTTCATTGAATTGTCATAGTCAAGACTTCCCGTATGTTCTAAAAAGGCCGAAACCTAAATCACAAACAGTAAGTTAAATACAGATTCATACACTCAAAATTGATAATTACGCAATGTCCGTCCATTTCACTGTAATCGATTGCTGCACAAGTCCTCATACATTCCCAGATCACACTCTCCTTCTTGTATTTGACCTTGCGCACCTAATCCCCTGCCAATATTCCTTTACAACTCTTCTTCCTTTTCGCAGTTCTTGACTTCGTAGTTGACAGTGTCATTTCCTGTCCCCCAAATCTTCGGTTTGAAGTCAAGGTACACGAGCTCGTTCTTTTCCGCCTTCCACTCTCCATTTGTGTCTCTGTAATACACCATCTCACCACTGCCGGCGTCTCGAACCTCGACGGTTGTGTGGGAAAACGTGCCATCCGTCGACCACTCTAGCTTGTAGCAGGAGTCCTTCTTCACAGGAAAGGGCTTAGAGCAGCGGATATTTCCGTCGCTGTCGATACATTTCTCGATGGCGTAGTCAAGCACTTCGCCCTTGGAAACGGTGTCACCAGCTAGACGGACTATATGTTAGATAATTGAGACGGAATTTCGTTGAACAGAGCCATCGTACTTAGTGTGAAGCTAGCAAGAGCGAGGCCTGCAGTAGCGATCTTCTGTACATCTGGGATATACATGACGAGAGTCGGAACTTGATGGCGCAGAAAGGAGGTATGTTTCGGGTAGATAAATTCGTCGTTGATAAAGAGACGAGTGGTCAACGTACTGAGAGACTCCAGAGAGCAAGGGATTTTCGCAAGGAGGCAAGCAGGTATTTTAAGACAAGAAACGTTCCACCAAAACCGGCGAGTTGGTCAAGCTTATTCGCATCATCGATGACGTTGATACATGGAGCTTTTGGTCCTTCCCGCCCCTTAAATTGCCTAATTTGGTATGTGGGGCGGTAACCCGAATTACACCCCGTTGGATGAAGTTCTGTTGTTCGGGAGTGTTGCAAGGAAAAATAGAAGATCTACCAAAATAAGATCTCCATCTCCTCCTCCCCTTTTGGCAGAGTCGTTGAAAACAGGGAGCAACTCCAAGTATGAGGTACTAGGTACCTACTTCAGTTGTCGCAGTTATCTCGGGTAGAGATGAGATGTGAGTAAGTAATAGTTAACGGTTTAAGCATAAATAGTAAAAATATTACAAGTACTAGCTGCTGTCTTTGCTCCCTCCTCAATTGTTTTAAATTCTCGTAGTACAGGTAAAAGAAGCACGGCGATGTATGCTGGAAAGTTGCGCTATAGAGTGATTCAGAAGAGGCAAAAACGCTGACCAACCTACTTACTTAAGTAAGTAAGTAGGTAAAGTACTTACTTAGGTAGGTAGGTAGGTACTTGGGTAGGTACCTTGCAATCTGGTGACCAAGTTGAGAGCAGAGTCATAATTGCTGGGGTGATGCCTTGTCACTTTGATGCCTGGCTCAATCTGTCGCGGGATGTTTAAAGGCGTAGGTTCCATCACGGCCCTAACGTGTGTGGGGAGAAAAAACCTCCGTTTGGATGAGGCTTCTGCGCGAGTTTTCATACTCCACCGAGCTCGGAAGATGATAATTCAAGTGCCGCTACCTCAAAGTCTTGATATTCCCTCCCAAATTCGGTCGTGGCAGAGTCGGACATGTAAATAGCTACCCTGTACCTTTGTGCCTGAATTCAAGAGCCCCGCACTAAAACTCTTTGGGATGGTTGCTCTGGTCCTTGCAGCCCCTCCGACTCATGGAAAAACATCAAAAACTGCCCCTCTTCTGACTCAGGAGGGCCTGTGCCAGTCAATGCGACATCACCGATTTCTTCGTCTTTTCGACACACAAGCCTGTAACTCGTTTAGCCCGTCTAATCACCACAGAGACGTATCTCTCATATTTACTCCTGTCGAGGAGCTGCAATTCTAGGGGCTGGAAGCCTCCAATTTCAATTGCCAAAGGCAGCAACACTACGTCCCGTAGGTGCGACCTCGCTCTCGATACATCATTCTCCCTTCGTTCCCTGCCATTTAAATGCAAGGCTCCCCTCTTCCCCCTTACGACCTTACCAACCGTATGGCGGTCATGGTCAATCAACATATTCATTATTTTTCGTTTCAATCCGAGAAAACCGTTGTGTTGGACCACTGACTGATCAAAAGACGTTACTCCGCAGGGTCACCATGGCTTCCTCGGCGGCTCCCGCACCAACCACTATTCCCGTCAGGGATGGCCCTCCGTCACAGCCTGATGGTCAGCTACCCGAATTCATCGTCGAGAGAAATCTGCTGTTTGAAGAGCTGAAGAAGAAACACGACGACGCCGTAGCCGCGAAGCCCCGAAACTCCATTACTGTGTCGCTCACAGCCGGCCCGGACAATGTCACTGAAATCTCTGCTACCGCTTGGGAGACCACCCCAGGCCAATTGCTGAAGCACGTTGCCAAGGTTATCGCCTCGGAGGCAGTCGTTGCCAAGGTCAATGGCGAGGTCTGGGATCTGACCAGGCCTTTGGAGGCTGACTGCGCCGTCTCGTATCTATCTTCGAAGGATCCCGAGGGTCGTGCTGTATTCTGGCACTCGGCCGCACACGTGCTCGGCGAGGCTTGTGAGCACCAGTTTGGCTGCATGCTGTCCCATGGTCCCCCAACCAATATGGGTTTCTTCTACGACATGGCCATGCGGGAGGGCGATGCTGTCAAGGAGACTGATCGCCCAGCCCTCGAGGCTTTAGCAAAGAAATTCTTCAAGGAGAAGCAGCCATTTGAGCGAGTTGAGATTGCAAAAGAGGATCTGCGAAAACTGTTTGGCTACTCCAAGTACAAGATGCACTATATCGAGAAGTTCGTCCCAGATGGCGGCTCCACCACCGTGTACCGCAACGGCTCCCTCGTCGATCTCTGCACCGGCCCGCACATTCAGAATACCAAGCAGATCTCCGCCTTCAAAATCATGGGCAACAGCTCAGCTTACTTCTTGGGCGACCAGGCCAACGACTCCTTGCAACGTATCTCCGGCGTGGCTTTCCCCAAGAATGATCAAATGAAGGAATGGCTTACCTACCTGGAGGAGGCTAAAAAGCGCGACCATCAGCTTATCGGGAAAAACCAGAAATTATTCTGGTTCAGCCCGCTCTCGCCAGGCTCGCCATTCTTTCTTCCCCACGGCACTCGCATCTTCAACGCCATCCAGACAATGCTTCGAGAGCAGTACTGGATGCGTGGGTACGACGAGGTTCATTCGCCCCTCATGTACGATGTACAGCTCTGGAAAACCTCGGGCCACTGGGATCACTATCAGGAAGATATGTTCCGAGTGCCGTTAAAGCACACTCACGGTGCAGCGCCGGATGCCCCAGTAGCTTCTGGGCCAGATGCTGCCAAAGATGCCGACAAACCGGCTGGCAAAGATGGCGAGAATGCCGAGGTTGCAAAATTGGAACAGGAGAGGCTGTTCGCTCTAAAGCCAATGAATTGTCCTGGCCACGCTCTCATGTTCGCCAGCGAAGAGCGCTCCTATCGATCTCTTCCGTGGCGAGTCGCCGATTTCAGTGTTCTGCATCGCAATGAAGCTTCTGGTGCGCTTACCGGTCTTACCAGAGTCCGCAAGTTCCAGCAAGATGACGCGCATATTTTCTGCACCATCGACCAAGTCACCGACGAACTTCGAGGCTTGTTTAAATTCATGACGCACGTGTACACCATGTTCGGATTCCCATTCAAGCTTAAGCTCTCCACTCGTCCAGATTCTTACATGGGTAAGCTGTCCGACTGGGATGCTGCCGAGGATCGACTCAAGAAGGCCCTACAGGAATTCAAGGGTGATGACTGGGTTATCAATCCTGGTGATGGCGCCTTCTATGGGCCCAAGATCGATGTCACCGTCAACGATGCCTTGGGTAGAGAATTCCAATGCGCCACTATCCAGCTTGACTTCCAGCTCCCCCAGAACTTTAACCTCCTCTACCGTACCAACGAATCTACGGCCGATCGCGCCAAGGGTGAGGGAGAGGAGGAAGGTGGTATTCCCTCTGGCATGGCAAGACCCGTCATGATCCACCGAGCCGTCATCGGCTCTTTTGACCGGTTCATGGGTATCATCATTGAACACTTTGGAGGCAAGTGGCCCTTCTGGCTGTCGCCGCGCCAAGTCATGGTCATCCCCATTATGAAGGATGCGGAGGACTATGCCAGGGAGGTGCGAGACATTTTGCACGACGCGAAGCTCTACGCGGACGTCGACGTCTCGGGCAACACTCTCCAGAAGAAGATTCGAGCTGCACAGCTGGCGCAGTACAATTTTGTCATGGTTGTGGGTGCCGAGGAGATTGAGAAGCGAGCGGTGAACATTAGAAATCGGGATGATCCCTCAAGTCAGCAAAAGGGCGCCATGATTGATCTAGATGAGGTTGTTAAGCGGCTTGTAGAGTTGAAGGCCGAGAGACGACTGGTCAATTCTATCTGATAGAGGAGGTCTTGGGAACGGCAGTGGCACTTGGGGACCGGGGTAAAGCGGGACGTAGGGTTTCTCTCGGCGTGGATTATGAAAGGAAATAAATGGCTCTGACTTATTACGTAGTGTGATATGATTTCTAGACTTCATAAATCTTTGCCCGCCTAGGAAAACCTTTTCGATATGCTCCCTGGTTACATGTGTACTGCCACATGCTCTGTGACTTCAATTGACACGTACAACTCCTATAGCCACTTAACTTTATTCTCGGTCTTTCTTCTCCTCATTGCTTGGCCATTACAGTTATGTAGTTGAGCCTCCTCATATGGCGAGTGGAAGCTGCAACTGGAAGTGCCAATTTTGAACTTGGGAGGCGGTTTATGCAGGCTGCGAACGAGTCGATATATTGCACTGACATCAAGTGTTCAATATTACCGTACTTGCAAGCAAGCTTGCCCCTCATGCCCTACGAATGCTCCGAGTAACTCTATTTGGCCCTAGTCCGTTATGATTTCTATTCAATGTTGCTTGCAGCATACTATGTGTTGCAGGTTCTGTTTGGCTGCCGTTGTGTCCCAAAGACGCGCAAGGAATCATGACGAAAAAAGATGATGATACCTGGGATGGCACGCCTCTCGTTACGCGCACTTCAACTTGCTACTTTTTGAATGAAGACCTTGTGACATTCTTGCTTAAAGTGGTAACTAGCATATTGCGTACAGGAATTATTAACAAGCACGACGGCTGTCAGCGCCTTTCGTGTCATGTGCATTGCGGAGCTTGAAAATACGTTTCTTGGGCCCAACGACTACACTTGACCAAGTGGCAAGGACCGTCATCAAACAGGCGAGGATTGGTCTTGCAGGTGCCGCGTAGCATATCCCAGACTCATTCCAACCTCGACGGAAGTCTGAATCTTCTGCTCACTCAAGCGCAGGAGATCGTCGTCAAACTTGATGCGCCCATGTTGAAAGGCGACAAGAATAGACGACCCGCCAAACTCAAAGACGCCCAACTCGTCTCCCTTGTTGATCTTTGTCCCGGCGCTGTGGTACTTTTTGTGAATGCTAAAAACAGTCAGCAGCGGCTTCAAATCGTATCTTCACTCGCAGGCCCGTTGACGTACTGCACGCTTCCCACGTCCGTCGCACCAACAGCCGCAAACAGGACCTTTCCAAACTCTCTTGTTTCGATGACGACGTAATCCCTCCGGTTGCGCGTCAGAATATCCACCTTGCTCTGCAGCGCTACAGGGTCGACCTGGTAGTAGTCGCCCGGCAAGCTCTGGTACGTCTTGACCTCGCCCTGGACGGGGGAGTGGTATCGGTGGTAGTCTTGCGGCGAAAGCCGGAAGCTCGCGACTGCCGCGTGCCCAAAGTCGTCGCTCACGTCATTGTTCATGACGAGATTGGCGAGGCTAAAGTTCTTGCCCTTGACCCAGAGCGCCTTTGCTTCGTTGACCGAGTTGAAGACGACGACTCTTGAATCCGCGACGACGACGGCCCGGCAAGGGTTGGCAGCGTCGCAAATGGGCCGCGAGCCAGCTCTGTGCGCGCGAGTGAAGAAGTCCTCAAAGGTAGGGTAGCGCGTAATGTCGGTGGGCTCGAACTCGCGCATGTCGATGCCGTACGCGTCCACGAACCCCTTGATGCGTCGCCTGGAAGCAGGGCTTCTTTCCTTTCGGCCTGCCATGTTCATGTCAACGACGGTGGTGGCGGGACGTTGGAGTCAGTTGCCATGCATGGTACGGAGTTACGAACCTTCTGCGACGGACTCTTCGTGCATGTACAGCCTCATCAGATGCGTCCTATCAATCCATTCGGTGAGTGGATTGAATAGGACGAGTAGTTTGAGCTTCTTCCATAGTGATTGCCGTTCGCGTTCTACTTTCTCCGTCTATGTCCTAGGTCAGCGGTAAATGCCATGCGTTTGCGCCTTTGTCGACCATCACCTTTCGGTTAAACGAACGCCATCCAACTTCCGAGTTTTGTTCCTAGACGCATGGTTAAAAAGTACTGAGGCGGCTACATCATTTCGACGTATTTGCAGTATTCCAACGTACAAGCTTCACCCAGTAGAGGAGGTAGTCGGCTATTGCGTGGATTCGCTGCCAGATGGTCATGATGGGCAAACGTGGATTACGACCGAAATCTGAGTTGCGAGGAAGAAGTCTAAAGGGATAAGGGATAGTATCGCCATGAAATGGATGAGCTTCCCGCTGGCATTCTGGTTAATATTTGTTTTAATCTCAGCGAGGAAAATACAGGTTCTCGGCGAGTTTGATGATGTTGAGATGACGCAGTACACCTGGCGCCACAGTTGCATGCTGCCAGCTTCAAGCTTCTGAGATGCAGCCATATTGATCATGTACAAGCAATGCAAGCACGGGGACCTGAACTCGGCGACTTCGTGGCACGGCGGTAATAGTACTCTGATTCAGCCCTTCGCCAGGCCATCTTGGCTACCCACGATGAAAGGCCGATGCTCACAATACGGAGAGACACGATAGGTTTTATAGGCGAGATATCTCCCAACTGATGCTAGAAAATCAAAAATGGTCTCATTCTCTCCATTTCACCAGTCCAGAAGACACCTGCTTGCCGCTGGCAACGCCGCCGCCTCGCAGAGTACAACTCGAGCCCATCAGGTGCAGCTAGTGATGAAGAGACGGATGCAAAAAGACAACTACTTGGTCTCCTCTGAGGCTTCTGCGGGCCCTCGCTTCGAAGGCGTTTCGGGTCCCATCTTGCTAATGCTTCTAGTCTCATGTAGTCCTTGCTCATCATTGCGGCTCGCCGTCGACTTCCAGCCGGCCGCGCTCCTCGTGGGTGTTGAACCATCTAGACTTTTCTGCAACGACCTGTTCCTGACTTCCAGGGACTGGTTTGGTCTTAATCCCACGGCGTATATAGTCGCCGCGATGAGACCTACACCAGCAGTTGCTGTCACCATAGCCTTTTGTCGATGCATTCTGAAGCTGCAGAACTCTGTGAGGAGGGCTTCGAGTGGAAAGGCCATGGGCAATTTGCTGTTTTTTTGCAAAGTATTGTGAACCGTACAATGCTTTGATGAAGAATGAAGGACGCCAATGAGTCGAAGAGTTTTGAGGAAATTTCTCGGGCGCCGCACGCACGCGGTGTTGTCGTGAGCGGTATGCGTTGGGTTTCTGGCCATGTACGTTGGTAACACGCAGAGGTGATGTCACGGTGACGAAGCGTTCTTCTTACTCCCAGTGACGGTTCTCTCTTGCAAGGCGTGACAAGGTTCTACCAGTAGTCTTCCCACATGGCCATCATCATTACATCCTTCACCTTTGACCGCCGTCGACGGGTTACAAAGGCTGTGGCAGGCGGCGACCTTCCACGAACTGCATACAGCCCATCGCCATGACACTCACGGAGTACCTCGACGTGATGAAGCGGTTACGTGCGTGCAGAGGTGTTGAAGTAAAGAAAGGAAGAGGGCAAGGCTCCGATGTCGACGTCCATTGGCGCTGGTCTCGACGGTGGAGATTGGAAGCTTCAAATGTTGATGCATCAAAACATTGAAGCGACATGGAGTCGCGACTGTGCAAGGTGCATGTGCCCAGGTACCTCCATGTCGGTTCCAAGTGCCACTGACATTGAAGGTCATACGTCGGCCTGAATCCTTCAGGTCCCACTGCAGCGGGAGCCTCGGTCATCAATTTCAGCTATACCGACATCTTATTTAATACTCAGTTTATATTTGACAGGAAACGAGTCTTGCCATCTACCCAATCGATAGCTACCTAGGTATGTATTAAGACATAGGCAAGGGATATGCAGAAACCTGCAGACCGGAATAGAAGGCCACATACTAAGGGCTAGGTGCTGGTAGCATCAATTAATTCAACCAGACAACTTGAGCTTGCTTTTACCTCTGCTGTACGTACTTTATGTATGTACTTATGTATGTACATGTAGTACCTGGGTTCAATACAGTGCTGGCTGCATGTGGGTGATTTTAGCTCCCGTGGGCCCGGCTGTGGGCGCGGCACGCCGCATTTATGTGCATGTGGTCAATATTTCATTTGATATTTCATAACGGCTACATACTGTATACTATATTAATAGATTATGCATATGTATACTGGCGTAGGTAGGACCTTCCTTCCCTCAGGGCCCACTTGACATTCAACATTCAGCCTACCAGACAGTTCAGATTTACCTTCAATGTTAATATCCCACCGTTAATATCCCCCGTCAACACTTTCATCGTCCACCTATAATACTAGACCTATTAGAACCCAGGTCCCTCTGACCAGACCCCTGCATGTGCCCGACCGCTTCCAGAATCCATTGACACCTTGTCCTTCACATGCATTCACCACCCGCACCGCCGTTGTCGCCGTTGTAGCCGCTGTCGCCGTTAAGCATACTTTCAGACAACACTTCTTCTGATATCACTCATCCCCTGGGCCGTGTGTGGATATGTTTCGAGGAAGATTTTCAAAACCAAACGCAAGGACGGAGCCGGAATAGGATGGACCCTATCCGGAGGAAATTCGAGCCATTCATCGTCAGTTGGAGACCAACAGGACTCAGCGTCATGGCGTGGCACAATGATGGACGGCTGGATTGAAGTCCGAATGGGGTCCTATCTGAATCCTTCCACATTTCTCAAAAGGGAGCCGGGTGGCCTGGACAACAATCCTGCACACGACACTGCCCGAGGACAACTTGATTCTTGACATCAAACGAGAGAGGCTTTCTGATAAGAACTAGCGGATAGCGAAACCTCATCTCAACGATAAATCCGGCCGCACTCAATTCCCCAAGATGACAAGGCGGATGCTGTTGACGCTCACCAAGAATCATACCCCTAGGCACCGGGGAAAACGTCGAAAGAAGAGTGACATAGTTGCTTTCGACGGCCCTGTTGCGAGCGGCTCTGCGCAAAGAGTAAAATTAGCTCCAAACGGGACAGGCAGTACACCCAACGTTGCTTCTTCTGGCTCCTAATTCATCCTATATCAGAACTGCGAGTCGTTGCTGGTAACATGCCTGCTCTATACTACAAATTTATATACCCCGAATTATTCGAGCGTGTCGGCCAGAACGCCGTCTCGTTCGGTCCTTGTAGAAGGATTGATGCGCCAGCGTGGGCGTCTCCATTTTGGGCATACGTACATATATTAGTACCTTTAAACGGGCGCTCAAATGACGCATGGGGCCCCGGACTGTGGAAATGTCGCTTCTTGTATCCGTACGGTCTTCATCTGTCTAAGTGAGAGAGTAGCAAGATGGCGGTGAGATGGGGGTTTGTTTTCGAGGTTGGGAAGACGGAGAACCGACGAGGATTATACTTGCCGCGAAACATAATTTACAAATCCAAGTCGTGTGTTGGTTCTCGCGGATCGCTCAAGCACATCATCCAGGTCGAGTTAGCCTACCATCTCGTGTCGACTTTGGCTACGCCAGGTTTCGCAATGGACGCTCCGGAACTCGAGACTCATTTTCTTGACAAAAATGGGCTTGTGACGCCACCTACAGGACGAGGTGCAGATGTACGGTGACAATTGCAGCCTTTGAACTGAGATATTGAATGCAGGCCGACCGAATCTGCTGGTAAGCCATAAAATTGATTCGTCCAAGGCACAATGCGATGATGCAACTTGGGCGCCACTCCGCTCTGCATACAGCCTTAACACATGCCTTGTTAACAAAAGCTACAAGGATGAGCGATAGTCGATTTGCTCAGCTATAAGCGGCTGGAAGTGGACATGGAACATTCGCTTCCCCAGGCACACAACCCCGAGACGTCTGCACGCGAACCAGTTTGACCCGTGCCTTTCTTGACAGGGTCGTATTCAACCGGAGGCGGCCGAGGCGGCTGGTTTTGACTCCAACATGATGTTACTATTCTTTCCCCCCCCGTACGGAGTGGATAATGCGGACTGGTACTTGCTCCGTACACAACTAAGAAGCTGCGATTATCGTCTTGTCCGTCAAGAAACGTGGGAGGGGTTGGATTGACATATAAGACATGAGCGCGGCACCATCTCAATGTTAAGGGGCAGCTGTCCTGGAATAGATTGTCAATCTCTCCCAACTGGGCTGAGAGCGAAACGCTGGGACAATCGAGTTGAAGCAGACGAGGTTTCTACAACACAGTCATCATGTTGAGGTCTCTCGGGCTCATCGGCAGCATTGCTGCTATCCTCCCGGGCGCATTGGCTTGTGGCTACGATGATTGCTACGGGCCGATTGACAAGGTCGAGCACGTTCGTCACGTCAAGCGCATGCAGCCCGGCGCTCCTAATGCCACATACGGACCAAAGGCACCCCTTGAATGGGGCCAGGTCAATTTCCTCCATACCGTGAGTAAGCTGTCTCAGAGAAGGGCTGATGCTGTTGATTGTACCAACGCCAATTGACACCAAGTAGACCGATACCCACGGCTGGCTCCAAGGCCATTTGAAGGAGCAAAACTACGGCGCCGACTGGGGCGACTTTGTCACTTTTAGCCGTCGCATGAAGCAGACTGCCGGAAATTTGGGCGTCGACCTGCTCCTTGTTGACACTGGTGACCTGCACGATGGCACTGGTCTTTCAGATGCTACAAAAGAGGATGGCACCAAGTCGATGCCCATCTTCAACGAAATCGAGTATGACTTGTTGACAATCGGTAAGCATCCCACGGCATATCCTCGTCAAAAATTGCAAAATCTCGAACCTGGGCTAAACCATACAAAGGCAATCACGAGCTCTACGTCAGCGAGGTCGCCTACCAGATGTTCAATGACTACTCCAAGAAATGGGGAGACCGATATGTCACGTCCAACGTCAAAGTTCTCAACCATAACACCGGCGAATATGAATATGTGGGAGCCACCCATCGTTACTTCACTACCCCCAACGGGTTGCGTGTCATGGCTTTCGGTGTTCTTTTCGACTTTACTGGTACGTCCATCTCCTACATTGCCGATTTGGAACCAGGGAATTAATCCATGCTTGTTGTTGCCATGTAGGAAACTCCAACGCCTCACAAGTCATCAAAGCCAGTGACATGGTAAAGGAAGGCTGGTTCACAGAGGCCCTTGCTAGCAAGAAGCAGGTCGACTTATTCATCCTCTTTGGCCACAATCCCGTTCGCGCTACGGACAAGTACAGCACATTCAAGGTCGTATTCGACGCCATCCGCGCTTCTCATCCCCAGACCCCCGTCCAACTACTCGGTGGACATACTCATATTCGAGACTTTGCCGTCTACGACGACAACGCCGTGGGCATTGAGTCTGGCAGGTTCTGCGAGACACTAGGCTGGATGTCCATCTCTGGATTCGACTCATCCAACAGCGGATTTCACGGAGTCAGGCATCCTCATGGTGTGCCCAACCCTACTCGACCTGCTAGAGAGGGTGCCAAATCGCCGTTTGTCTATTCCAGACGGTACTTGGACTGGAATCGAAAAACATTCCTCTACCACTCCAAGCAAACTGAGAAGACGTACGACTATCACTCTGGTCTGCGTGTTACCGGTGACATTACGAGGGATCGTGAGGAGCTCAAGCTAGGCCAGGTGTACGGATGTGCTCCACAAGACTATTGCATCGACTGCGCGCCCTTCACTGATGACAAGAAGAACATCTTCCCCGGAGTCATTTACCCTGCCGTCTCGGCCATCGTATTGAACGAGACCCGCAAGGACAAGTCTCGTATTATTCTGGGCAACACCGGCGCTATCAGGTTCGACCTGCACAAGGGACCTTTCACGTATGATGACAACTTCATTGTGTCGCCATTTAGAGATGTATTTTTTTACATTGCCGATGTTCCTTTTGACAAGGCATCCAAGGTTATTGGCCAGTACGTTTCGTCGTCCCTCCAAGTAGTCGACTCAGAGGTCAAGAGAGATGGCATTGTGCTAATTTACTTGCAGGCTCAACAGTGGCGTAGTCGACAAGCGTTTTGCCTCCACGCGCATCCCAAGCGATGAATGCACCAACC